GGGGGGGGGGGGGGGGGGGGGGGGGGGGGGGGGGGGGGGGGGGCGCCGGCGGGAGCTCCTTCTTCTTCTCCTTCTTGTTCTAGTGCCGTGCACCGTTCGGTGCTGCTGGGAAGCAACGCGGCCGCGGCGCCGAGCGACTGGGTCGACCGGGTGCGGAAGTTGCCGACCATCGCGTCGTCGCCGCGTGCGTCCAGCCCAAGCGTCGTCCAACGCATGGGCGGCAACGGCGGCGGTAACGGTGGTGACGTTCGATCCCCTTCGCCGCGGCAAGAAGGCAACAACATCACGAGCCCTCGCTTTATGGGCATGCTGCATCCGGGGCCGATGCCGACGGCCGCTCCGAATGTGGGCGTCAAGTACATGTCGGAGCCGTGCGACAACCTTGCGCTTCTGTCCACGGTCGCGGCGCCGGGGGCTTACAACAATCCCCCCCGACGAGCGTCGTACGAGGACAGGAGCGGGGTGGAGAGGCAGGCGGCTGTCCGCCAGCGGATCGCGGCGCAGCCAAGTGGGGGGGGCGCCGCGGACCGTGACGGGGGTGATGACCTGCCCCCACCGGCGAACCCGGGCCTCACCACCGGCATGTCTTTCGACCCGAACAGGGATGACGGCACCTTCCAGTTCACGCTCGGATCGTTGTAGGACGTCTGTTTTATCCTTGAGGTGTTGTCGTGTTTCTTGTGGAGTCCTCTTTTGCGGCGGGTTGTCTCATCTTGTTGCGTGAAGAGCACGATTTCTGCATGGCGAAGTTCAATTGGTTGATGTTTCTGTAGTGCTACGTTCGGTGTGCTGGGGGGAGGGGGAGGGCTATTAGTTGTGAGAGGTCTTCGTTTGTTTCGCGCTCGAAAGCTTGGACGTCTACATGCCGCGGCTTCGGTGGTAGCGGCGACGAAGCACCGAGTAGAAGCGCCTGTGTGATGCACATACGAGTGCGAGTGTACGCGCGCGTATGTTTTGTTTGCTGACTTTCGTGCAACAGCCGGTCACTTCGCAGCCCGCGAACGCGGCTCTTGCCGGCTTGGTTGCTAGGGCCACACGATTGTGCTTTGGGAGAGCTGTCACTGCAATCTCGATGCGTCGTTGGCATACACACAAGCTGAGAAGGGGCACCGCATGATCATTGGTTAGGCACAAATGTGAAGCGATGACAATGTTTACTTCGTGAAGCAACGTCTGCCCCTGCGCGCAGGCTGCATGGGTTCGGGTCGGGGTGTGCAAAGACCGCAAAACCTTTATAGTCCTGAGCGTGTACGACACTGTGTTTTGGTTGTATGCATATGTGCCCCCCTCTCTTAGCCCCTTTTGTTTTGGACATGGATGCGTTTTTTTTCTTTTCGTGCGTGAGCTCCGGCCGGGCGTTTCATGATGTACTGAACGAGAAGCGTTTCTGCGTGGGTAGAAGGCGGTGAGTATCATGCCACTCATTGTATTGCATGGGAGCCAGCGTGTGTCGATAAGCCCTTGTGGTGGACTGTATCAAGACGATGGCGCCGGCCGTCGTAACATGATCGGGAAATATGTTGGCGTGGTGGGTGAAACAGGGGGCGGCTGTAAGTGTGATTTGTCCATTGTACCTTGTGAATCGTGTCTTCTCTTTCTCTTCTTGCAATGTACTCTGTGCTAACGCATTCTTTTTTGCACCTGCGCGATTAACTGCGTTGCGTGCCCTGGGTATTCCGTGAAACATTTAGGTTGCAGGCCTGTGATTGCCCGTATATCCACCTGGTTACATGTGTGAATTTCGGTTCGGTGGTCGGTGTCTGCACAATCGGCAGTGCCATGTGGTGTCCACGCGGGCGGCGGAAAGTAGTTATACCCTTGTCTCTTGCGCTCATCATCTTGTACCGTTGTTTTTGGTGTGTTGGTCGTTTCTTGATAGAGAGTTTTGAATTAGTTGGTTGGATGTATACATGTACGTCGAAACAAGTTATGCATACGATGCTGCGGGCGAAGTTTATTAATTAATATTGAAAATGTTTTGATGCTTGGCTTATCGGGTCTTTCTCAAGTTGTTCAGAATTAGAGTAAACACTCTTAAGAAGGCGTGCCTGTTCTCGATCGATTGTATCCTAAAGCAAGATAGGTGGCTACTAAGACTACCATCTGAACAATATTGCCGCGGGCAAGGCCCTTTATACCGTGGTCTATTGTGTGAATAGTTCTCCTGAGGAACCGCCGAGTGACACATGCATCTTGAACTCTTGAACCACAGACATGTGAGGGGCACGTGCGGCGTTTTCTTTTAAGAAAGTAAACCTCACACAGAAAGACCACCCGTTCGAGATAAAGTAAACCTCACACAGAAAGACCACCCGTTCGAGATACCTCAGTCGAAAGGAATGTCTTGTCGTCTCAGGAAGAGTATTGACACCGACTAGAAACTGGGGTTATTTTTTTGTGTTTCCTGAGAGAAGACACATCTCTTGCTCAGATCTGAGATGGATTAGCGTTAGCGGGCCTCACCTGTGTTTCTACTATTGATTCTCGTTCGTGTGTCCGGACTGTCGCCGCAGAGCGTCATGTACAGCGGTCATGTCATCACGTCGTCACAGGGTCACGTCAAAAGTGCGACGCTTGTCCAATCAATGTTATGTTTGCTCTGTCTGGGACGGCCCTCCTCAGACTTTACGCAAGAGTTAAGCACGTGAGGAAAATCCGAACGAGTAGTATAGGTATCCACCGTTACGAGATGTGTGCGTTCAATTCAACAGCTACAAATGTGTGCGTTCATTTCATTCGTCGACAAGCAGTGTTGCTGAAAAAGTCTTCGCCAATCCAGAAGCAACACGCGGCACCCGTACAGCAGTAGCTGCCACACGGCGTGAGGCCGAACGCAGGCATTCTAAATATGGATACGATCGACACTCGTCTGTCATTGACCGGCAGCTCGGCGCACAACAGCCCGAAGCACAACCTTGATAAGGGCGGGCGCCATTAAACTTGATCTGTTACAGACCACAAGTCTGCTGGCAGCCGACTCAGTTTTCTCACCAAACTTATCTGCCCAAAACCCAAATCCGCACGAAACATACTGGCAAACGATTTGAAAGTAGATGCCGTCACCTTTACTGCACTACTGACGTCTAATCTAGCACACGCTCTGCAATCGAATGCATGAACACTGTACTCCCTCCCCCCCCCCGTCTCTCTTAGGATACAGCGCACCCTCCGTGCGACTCGCCGGAAACCTCACGGCGCTTCGCGCTTGGTGATGTGAGAGCCTAGTCCAGTAAGAGCCCGGCGTGCTTCGTTCCGGGCTTTGTAGGGATGCGAGATCAATGGTCTAGCCACTGCATGCACGACTATGACTGCCCCCCCCCCCCCCCCCCCCCCCCCCCCCCCCCCCCCCCCCCCCCCCCCCCCCCCCNNNNCCCCCCCCCCCCCCCTGTCTCGCTCTCGCTAGAACTGTCTGGTTCGACGGAAGGTGAGGCGCGATCTTGCGGCGTTCAATCGCGCTCAAAAACAATATTCCCGACACTCGACCGGACTAAAAAAAAAAACGCATGAAACTCCGTCTCGAGAACGACCCGCAGGTTGTCATTCGCCTCATATTTCTAGCAAAAAGGGCTCCCTTCCTGGCAAGTATGCCAAGTAAAGAAATATATATAGAGATACACACAATGGGGGCGAGGGAGAATGCTACAATACACACATATGCCGTAGCGTCAAAGCATGGCGTGAACATTCGCCTGCTAGGCCGAATCCAGCGCCTCTGCGACTGAAGGGGTGTGGTGAGAATAAAACGCAACGCCCTTGGGAATATCGAGCTATTTCTATCCAAGACACCGTTGTCGTTTTCCGACCTCCCACACGCAGAAGCNNNNGGGGGGGGGGGGGGGGGGGGGGGGGGGGGGGGGGGGGGGGGGGGGGGGGGGGGGGGGGGGGGGGGGGGGGGGGGGGGGGGGGGGGGGGGGGGGGGGAGGCGGCGTCGAAGACTGCTGTCCACCGAAATCTAGTGGCAAAACGCATTAATATTCCCAGGAGCTCAACCAATCCAATCACAATGGCAACCCCCCCCCGTCCCCCCGCTGTAATCCGTGTGCAAGGAAGTAAACGCAAAATGCTTAACACCCTGAACAGGATGCAGCACACCCTCCATGCAACTCGCCGGATATCTCACGGTGCTGCGCGCTTGGTGATGTGCGAGCCTTGTCCGGTGAGAACCCGGCGTGCTCCGTCCCGGCTTTGAAGGGATGCTTGGTCAATGGTCTAACGACTATGGCATGCCCGGCTATGAGTACACTCCCCCTCGCCCCCGCTGTTGTCTACAAACTGGCTGCATCGCTGGAGAAGTACACCGCCGGGTCGTACTGCCATGGCGACTTGCCTCCCGCGAAGGACAGGAGTTGGCTCGGGTGGATGTACTTGGCGGTTTGGCCTAGTACCCTGCGCGCGCGCAGTGGAGTCGGACAGCAGCAGGTAGAGAGGATCAGGGCTGAGAAGCCGTTGTGGGCGATTGAGCACTTTTAATTCGGTGTAACGTGTTTATAAAAAAAAAAAGGTCCTCGACCCTCCCCCTCTTGTACCGTGATAGGAGGATACCCAACTACGCAACCGTTTCAACGACCCTGAAATATCGAAGCCCCGCTTGTAACGGAACAACATGTACAATACATCGGGGTCGAGCACGTCCGGCTTAGACTTCCCTTTTATACGGGAGCCCTCTCTTACAAGGTACTGTTGTTGTTGTTGTTGTTGTTGTTGTTGTTGTTGTTGTTGTTGTTGTTGTCTTCCTACTAAAAACCGTTCCGGTCTCCGCTCAGTACCTTCTAATGTCCGTATTGTACCCTCTTTTATCGGGACCACGACTGCATGCTCACGTGGAGGGTATGAAGTGGATCTTGGCCTTGGTTCTGGCCTGCAGGAGGGGCGAGACTACCTTCCAGCAGAGCATCACGCTAGGCCCCACGTTCGTGAACAGGACGTGCCCAAGGCGCATCGGGTAGTGGTGACTCAGCAGCTTGAACATCTTCTTTATGTACTTCACGGGGGGGAGCTGCTTGAGGCCCATCCCTGCGGGGCGCGCGCGCGGGCGGCGTGATAGCACGGTGGCCCGAGGAGATGTCGGCTACTGCTGTTAGGGGAGTATGGAAGATATGTATGTATATCCAAATCCGATTTCGCGAGTGCCGCGTTGGACACCTCGAGGTGACGGAGCAGGATAGGCGGTATGGAAGAGTTCCAAATTCGGATCATTGGTGCCGCAATAGGACCCAAGGCAGGGAAAAAAGGTACACGGGCGCGATGCCGCCAGGGGGCGAGTCAATCGTACAGGAACATGGAATTTCAACTTGACGCACATACCTTCACAGTCGATGACGATGGTATATTGCCAGCTGTTTCTTGGCATGAGGCGAATGGCTCTCTCCAGGTTGTAAATCATCAGCTTCGAGTTGCCATCTCCCTCCATCCTTCCGTCAAGGGCTGGTCTAAAGTACACCACCGGTCGCCTACGACAACGAGCGGGCAGCAGAGCACCCGCCAAGCCAATCCGCCGCATGATCAGTAAGTGGTGCACACATAGATTAACCCGACGTCGAATCGGACGTGAAATCAAATGGTAACCAACACAGCGGCATGATACTGCTGCACGTCATTGCGAGTAGGACCTCCGTGTGTGTGGGGGGAGGGTACGACAACCGTGCCATCCATGTTGTCCGAGCACAAAAAGGCGCCCGGGGGGCGCGTCGCCGCTTCCCCTGACTTTTGGACTTTTTGCTCCCGACAAATAGCACCCAGGGGAATATAGGCGGTGACTATTTCGGTAATGAACGAGTTCTTGCTCGGAATCTCGCGGCGAGCCCATACTCTTGCCGCGTACGTACGCGTTGGTGTCAAGTCACCTGCTGAGATCGTGGCCCTTCACAATGATGGCCCCACGGCATCCTTGGTCGAATACGTCCTCCTTTCGTAGGCGATCTGCCCCGATCTTTTCCCTCCAGGCGATGGACTCTTCGATGAAGTCACTAACCCGCTTGCCGTCGTGCTCCAACGACCAAAACGCCGCCTCCAAAAACCTGTAAAACGGCGTACGTGTACGTGTTAAGACAAAACACAACAAAGGGTAATGTTGCTGTTGTTGTTGTTGTTGTTGTTGTTGTTGTTGTTGTCTTGACCTTATGCAGTTGAAATTGGCGAATATATACCCACTGAAAGCTTCCCGAGTACAGCAGTATCGGCCCTTTCACACCGGAGGAACGTCGCCACAAGCGAGTCAGGCTGAGGTTGTGTAGTCACGCCATGCTTCAAACACAAAAGGGAGGTGCGGCTTTCGCGGCAACAACGTCACGACGAGACGAGTGGATATCGAGACACAGCAAACGCTATCGACACGAGCTGCTACGCCGCCACCTCTGCTGCGTTTGCTTCGGCCATGGCCAAGAATAACTCACTCCTCTGTTTCAAGACGAGCTGCAGCACACCGCACCCGTCGTGTCACACGAGCTTGGTACTAAATCGTTTATCGCGGCCCTACCATGAGCCTGCGCTCCCACACCCAAACCCTTTACGTCCAACACACCCGCTAGTGGCACGCCTTAGGGCTTGGGCTAGCGCAACGACCGTAACTCATGACCCCACCTTCCAAGAGCAACGGTATCTAGCTCGTGGTGGACCTTCTTGGCGCGCCTTTCGAGGCCCGGCTTCGCCGCAACCTCGTTCCTCAGCTCCTGCAGCACTCCTCGATACCTGACGGGGATTGGCCCTCCGTGCTGCCACGACCCCTACAAATGTAAAAAACCCCGAAGATAGAGAGAGAGCAGCCATCTTGGAATGAAAATATCGGGAGGTTGCGTCACAAACAGCAGTGACACGCTGAGTACCACGACGAGCGAGGGTCCCTGAAGTCAGAACTTCGTTGGAATCCCGACCCTGATCTCAAGCTTTGCGCGCTTCACTCTGCGGATGTGGCTACACCTAGCCTCGCTTTACTCAAGGTGGCCCAACCGACCACGGTGAAGAGGTGAGATGTGCGCTCAAGTTGGTGGACGGGGGTTGCATCCCGGTGGCCGCTCGCGTTGAGAGCCTGCGCTAAAATCTCGACACGCAGCATCTCCTAGACCTCGGTTGTATGGCAGATCGTACTCATCGAGTACCCCCGAGTTTAAGAAATTCTCAGGCTCAACTCAGGGCACACTAGACTTGAAAACTTGACTGTGAGAAAACTCGGCTAAAATCTAGCAAGTGCATGCTGTAAAACCTGATAACGATAGTCACTGTCAAGGTGCCACAATTGGCGGAGACATGGCATCCCCATGTTAGCGTATTCTAATACTTCATTTTTCTACGCAACCAGGGGGGGTATCACTGCCGTAAAAGGGTGATTTTGGAAACATATCGTCGAGGGCTTTCCTGAGAGGTATCGTTGGTGTTCGCACCCTCCTAGTTGTGGAGAAATACGCTATTAACCCTTACGTGACTACAGGCAGATTCAACTCCGTTCTCAGCTCCGATCACTTGGCGTGCCGAAAGATCGCCGTTGTGCCTCGGCGGAGAGAAAAAACATACATAGAGACCAGGAGGGAGACACAGGCAGCCCACCCCAAAGCACGCGCATCAGCAATGCGCACAAGACTCGCACAGAACAATACTAATATTCACCCATGCCTGATGTCTCTGACGTGGGGCAGATATCCTTCCAGATCCAACCTACTGCCTACCGGTACTGCTGTACAAAGATTCAAACGCAAAATACCACCGGAGGGTACAAACAGCACCCTGAACATGTGATCAACCCGGTGCCGCATCCGCGGGGGAGAGCAGGAAAAACGCACACCGGAGCCGATGCTAACGTACTGGCTCGGTTCTTGATGTTGCTGTGATTGCGGTGCGTGTGGTTCCCAGTATTGGGAGTGAAGGGTGGTTCGTCTGCTGTGTGCAAAATTCACTCAAAGGCAAGGGTTTTCGGGACTACAGCTCCGATCACAGCTCCGATCACAGCTCTCTACTTGTATTACAGAATAGTAAAATTTATCACGATTTTTATGCATGTTGTGCGATAGTGGATGATGGTCTCGATTCTCTGATGAGCGGACCGTTTTTTTCGTCGATCTGGCGCTTCTGTGAGGCGGTTTCCCGTCAGCGTCTTCGCATTTAGCGCCGCTAGCATATGCGCTTGCGTATGCTCTGTCCAAAGATGAGGTGAAGAAGATGTGCCAACAGGTATTGCTTGCACAGGTACATCCTCTGTGCGGACGGTTGCTGTCGGAGACAGGCATGCAAACCTGCTCAGAAACTACTGCTGCTGCTGTACTGTCTATTCACCTCCGCATAGCTGCTATTTACTGCTGTACAGCAGTGGTACCACTGTACTCATGTTCGTCACCCTTACATACACCGCGTCCCCATCCCGGTGAGCCCCACACATGGACCCACTGCTGCACCATCCTTGCCGCCGTGATTTATGGGTGTACACACATGCTTGGAAGATCTTTGACCGCAGAGAGCCAGTTGTGGGAACAAAAACAAAAAAGTTCAAATTAACCAAGTCACGTAAGGGCTAAGGGTACCCAGACAAGGGATTTTGACGCTGGCTCTTTTCTCATACTTCATAACAGTACAAAGAAAGAAAACAACCTTCCCGCCGGAGGAACCTGGTCCGTTGTGCTAGTATCAGTAGAGGATATCATCAAGAGGCGTCGTGCGTGCTGGCACGTTCAGGTATACTACTGGGGCTGAAATATCGAAGGTCGCAGCAGCCTCTGAAAACGGTCCGAAATCTGCGCCGGAACCAAGCGGAACCCAACACTTGTCACAGCGGTGCTCGCCGCCACTGAACCCAATCTTCTGAACTGCAGGTTGTCAGCAGTAGCTGGTGGCATCAGCTACTGCTGTAAACCTGCAGTTCAGAAGATTGGGTTCAGTGGCGGCGAGCACAAGCAGTACAAGACACTGGGTGTCGATCTAACTTGCGGAGATTTGCGGAGATTGTGGGCCACTACAACGACACTCGATACCACCACCACAGAAGAAGTTTTGAGCGCGCCAACACACCCCCCCGCTGCTATAGGGTGTCCTCTAGTGATATTGGTACAATGGACCAGGTTCCTAGCAACACCGGCCTTATTTGAGCGCCTTCCGTTTGGGCTCTTTTGACTTGAATTTAGACTGGTGTGGATTTTTATCTTGGTTTCAAAGGATGCGTGTGGAGGTAGACGCGCGAAAAGCACGTTTTGAGCGGTCTCTACTGCTGCCCTGTGCCAGAATTTTGGACTTGTTTTTTTTGCGATGCCTTCCGACTGGTCTTATGTGTCTCTAGTGCATTTTCTGGCGCTCTTGCGTTTGTTTTCGAAATTAGGCAACATAGCAGGAGGTTGTCCGGGTACCCTTAAAACGCCAACACGGGGGTGCCATCCCTCAGCCAGCTACACGGTATACATGCATACAGCAGTACCCCACAGGAAACGGTTGTGGTTAGGCCGACTGTTCGCATAACTCAACACGTACCTATCTAGCTGGCTCTCCAGCATTAGACAGCAGTGTGGGCGGCGGGCGAAAAAATAAGGCGGCTGAATTTAGCGCACACCAGTCGCACCCCTCATCAGGCGGTGACCGCAGTACGTACATCGTGTATGTTCTGGCTAAACATGGGTAGACAAACAGCTGCTGTACGTCCTTTGTATCACGCTTCGGGGCGGAAGTTGACTTGTAGGGTTACCGCAATTGCAACAAGAAGACTTTCGCAGAGTAAACCAGCACCAGCTTGAGTATGTATAAAAGGCGTCTATAATGGCAAACAACAGTGAGTATGTACCAGTAATGGCAGTTATGGAATTGGAGGGTGCTCATTACTGATGATGTCCTACAGCAGCAGTACACAACGTTCGTCGTGAACAAAACATTCATTATGCCGTGGGCCCAGGGTGTACTGCTGCTGTGAGCTGTGCCTCGACGTTCATGACACTGCGTAGGTGTGCCTCCAACTTTCTGTCACGATGCGCTTACCCTTCTCGCTTGCCGAAGCAAGCGAAGACGCTTCAGCGTGGTGAAGTCGACCACCACGCCAATCCAGCGCTTCAGTCGTCGAAGCAAGCTTAGGATGACATGTTTTGGGTGCGCGTGGGTGCTGCGCTCTTTCGCCTCCTTCGCCGCTAGCTCTGCTGCCCTCCGCTTGGCCCATCGTTTCCGCGATCTCCACCACCGAGACTGGGGGTTGCTTTCATCGAATGGTTCTGAGCTCGTGCCCCCTCGTATCAAAAAGAGTGATCTGCTGGTGAGCAACTCGTCTGTTTCAAGCGATCGCCTGCTGCCCGTGAGGTGGCAGTTCGGTCTCAACCGTTTCGAGTTCCAGCAGCAGGCCTCTGCTGCTGCTGATGCGTGTTTTCTGCTGCCCACCACGTGAGCACTACATGCGTTTGAAGCAGCGCCGATGATGATCAAACTTGGTATTGCGCCCATGGCGTCCTTGAAACCCGTGGCCTGTAGTAGCAGCCACCACACCTCCCTCCTGTTGGCATGTTGGCATGCAGGTGACACATACACAAGACCCGCGTGAGTGCACGGACGCGGGGGCACCGCAGCACACTGTATATGGCATCAACATACCCCTCCGATATACGCCGACACCCATATAGCATGCCCGCACTGCGGGCGCTCACCGCACGGACAGCACCCAAGCCGTTCCTTAATGAAGACCCTGAAGAAGAAATTCTCCATATACCAATCGAGCCAGAAGGTTAGAGCGGGGTTGGATTACAAGTGACCCTCGACAAGGCTTCGTTTTGAAAAATGTTTGTCGCTAGTAGTCCGGCGTTGTATTCGAAGCTGACTCTCTTGATCAGCCTTTTGAGAAGGTCGCGCCTGTGTGCAGAGCATGCTCTGAGCGTCCCCGTACTGCCGCTGCATGAAGTAGCTCGGTGGGCGCACTCCGAGTGGTGGCTGTTGAGTCCGAAGTGTTCAAGGGGACTAGCAATATGTACAACAGCACCATTGCTGTGTGCATGGGTATTTCGATTCAGCAGCACAAATGGATATGGGGGGAGCAGTCGAGGTATGCACGTGTGTTCGAGACCACAGAAGAATTTCTTTTACCTCGCTGCTGCTGTCACCTCGCGGCTGCGTCGAAGTGCAGCCGCGGGTTTCGTGCCCCGACTCACGGGCTAGCTGAGCTACTACAACGGCAATGGTGTGGCCTGTTGGTGTGTGCAGCCGCAACAGCAGGTAATGCCTCGATCAGCTTTGTTTGTGTACACCTATACCTAAGTCCGCAGAGCTGTAACCGACGGTGGTTGGTGTTTGGTCGTTCAATCTACCCATCGTACTGCAGTAACGAGAGATCGACTTGGCCCCTTACGACTGCCACGAGTCGCCTGAAGGGCAGATATTGCTGTAGTCCAGACAGATTTCGCCCGACCTCGCTGCTTTTTTCTGTAGTGATCTTATCTACTCCGCGTCCTGCTGTATCCTGTGGCGGTGCGGAGACCACTCTGCACACAGCAAGGGCGGTTTAGACTCAGAGCATTGACTGCTGTCCCCGGCTATCATGACGTATGTATGTCGCACTGGTTGTTCTTTGCTCCGGCCTGCTCCATGCGACGTCTATTGGGAAAAAACAGGTTCGAAAGCTCTGGTGCGACTACAGCGAGGCCAAGAGTGGCATTGAAAGCCCCTATAGCAGCTCAACTACTAGCGCAGAGAGTAGGGCAGGAGACGACTATGATGCGGGCGCGTCAGCATTCCCGCCCTCGTTGTCCAGCGCTGGCTCGATAGCAGCAGGTCAGGGGCCGGCGCGAGCCCTCCGCGCCTTCGTAGATGCGGTGGATTTGACCGATGCTAGACAAGCTACTGTTCTCCAAAACCTGGTGAGTCTTGACTCGCGTGTGATCATGAACCAAGATGCCTTGCCAGTGGTAAATGCGTTGCAGGATTTGACAAAAAAGTTGATCGGACACTATACGAGCATGTCGCCATTAGCCTAGGTCGACTCTTTGCTGTGTTGTTGGAGTCGAGAGGTGGAGGCTATCTGCGGCCCATATTAGGCGGAGTGGCTGTGTTGGCGGAAGTCAAAGTGCGCTGCTACCTGTCTGACCAGCACAAGCTACATGTACTCTGTGACGTTCGCAGGTCTGATACTTCAGTTTGACATTCTTTCCCTACTTGCAAACGAAATATTGTCGTCCTTGTTTTCGTTTTGGTGAGGACGAACGAGATCAACCAAGCATGGGAGTCGTCCGTTCGGAGCGACCTTGTCATGACCGTTGCCGATGTCGAATGACTGGAGAGAGGCCGCACATACGGCACTGTTGAACTGCATCGGTCCACATGGGTCCCTTGACTTTCCCTCTGCCATTTCATCCCCATCCCCATGCTTCTGTGCCTTCTGCAGGATGACGTTGGTCAGGGGGAGCTAGTGTCCACGTTGATAGAGCTAGCGAGGGGCGTGGTGGGAGCAGACGATGCGTGTGGGGGGTCAATTCCGCTCTCCGTGACAGCTGGCGATGTGGCTCTCGCGGAGAAGTCCTTGACGGTGGCGCAGACGTGTCTCGCCGGAACAACGTAAGAAGGGAGCACACACCTGCGCTTCGTCGTTGCCGTTGTTGTCGTGCCTCGTGGGGTGGCGTCAAGACGTTTCCCGCGAGCCATATGGTACATGTGCCGTAGTACCCTGCCTGGAGCAGGGTTTGTCGTAGACTCAATGTACTGCAACCCCCCCCTAGAAGCAGGAATGGGTGTGCTGCTGTCGCCTCCAAAGGGGTGAGTGCCCCCACGATGGATCGAAGCCACGTACTACGGTGAATAGGGCACAAGAGCACATGACGCCTTTGTCTGTCTGTCTGTCTGTCTCTCTCTCTCTCTCTCTCTCTCT